TTTTTTTTTTTTTTTTTTTTTTCATTTGTTCTATACTAAATCCTCCAATAATTAGACGATATTATGAGTATAGACTAATTTTTATGAACACATGTCTACTTTTGGAAATATGTGATAGATGCTCACAAATTTGGACTCAAAATCCAGAAGAAACAAAATCTCCAAAACTCTTCAAGAATATTCTACCAACCCAATTATAGAACTCTAGAAAATGCAATATCCATGAAATGCATGAGCTTATAGACCTTATAGAGAGTGGTTCAGAAGAAATTTTCACACCCTTGATAAAGGGTGTTTCATTCTTCTCCCAACCGATGCCTAGCAAAGATTTCCACCTCTTATAAACGAAGTTTAGTTCTTCTACCGGACAGACCCTTGTCTTACCATTATATAGATCAACCACCACCTGGGTTAAGTTAACTCTACAACCAAAAATAGCACGCTGTCATGGGCTTATATTTGTAGCCTACAAAATAAAGCCCATAGCTTAGTTCGTGTCTTTGGATCATTAAATTAAAATATACATCAAGCTTTCAAGGGAAATTTATATATTATATTAATTTTTACAAATTTTAAAATTTATTTTCCATCATTTTTACTGGAGTCCTCTTTGTCTCTCATGCAACTTAACAACTGAAGTGATTATGGAAGAATTAAGAAGTATATACATTTTATATTCTAACATAAAGAGTTAATTTGAGTCCATAAATAAATGTTTTAAGGTTAATGCAACTCAACAGATTTTGGAGGACTCTCATACATTATAGTTAAAATGAAAACTAAAAATGTTATTTTGAACCGTAATCCAATCCAATCCAATCCAACCCAACCCCACGTCCCAATTCCGGACCTTTTTCAAGTTTTACCGCTAACAACATTCGCCAAACGCCAACAATTTGCATCACATACCAAACTTCGGAGTCCCAACAAAACCATAAAAATTGACATGTCTTAATATAAATCATTACCTCTCCCACTTCCTTCCACGTTTCCATTAATACTCTCAATCCCAAAATCAATAGCAACAAATCAGAGACACCCTGCACACAATCTCTGCAAATTTCCCCTCGTTCATATTCTCTCATTTACCAAGTGAAAAACTCGCACAATCCCATTTGGAATCACATGAAGAAGCCTCCTCCGCCGCCGCCTCCGCCCTTTGGACCCGCCGTCTCCCCTACATTCCGACCACTCCCCAAGCTCTTAATCATTCTCATCTTATTCCTCTCCGTCACTTACATCGTTTATACCTTCAAGCTTCTCTCTTCTGACGAGCCCTGCCCTGATGAATCCATCAGAATTTCATCAATTTCGTCGCCACCCTTCTTCATCAGAAACCGAACATTCCCAAATTTCCCACTGAAACCACACGCCGAGACCGAAATCCAAGACATTGTGTTTGGAATCGCGTCATCGGCGAAGCTGTGGGAGCAGAGGAAAGAGTATATAAAGCTCTGGTTCGACCCCAGAAAAATGAGGGGGGTGGTGTGGATGGACGAGCCGGTGGGAACAAAAGCAGAGGAGGCGGAATTGCTGCCGCCAGTGATGGTGTCGGAGGACACGACGGGGTTCGCGTACCGGAATAGACAGGGGAAGCGGTCGGCGATAAGGATAGCGAGGATAGTAGCGGAGACGGTGAGGCTAGGAGTGGAGAATGTGAGGTGGGTGGTGATGGGGGATGATGACACGGTGTTTGTGACGGAGAATTTGGTGAGAGTGCTGAGGAAATATGATCATAAGGGGTTTTATTACATCGGAAGCTCGTCGGAGAGCCATTTGCAGAACATTCAGCTGTCGTATGGAATGGCATACGGCGGAGGAGGATTCGCGATCAGTTATCCGTTGGCGAAGGCGTTGGAGAAGATACTGGACGGTTGTTTGGAGAGATATCCAACGCTTTATGGCTCCGATGATCGGATTCAGGCTTGTATGGCGGAGCTCGGCGTCCCTCTCTCTAAGGAACTTGGCTTCCATCAGGTGCGTACTAAATTACAAGTTCCATTTTTATTTATTTATTTATTTATTAATAATTTACTATTGAAAAAATAAAAGTTGAACATAAAATTTATCTCAAAATAATAATTTCTTAATTTCTTGAAAAATAAAAATTTGAGTCCAATATTAATTAGCACCTCCATAAATAAACATGACCAAGAAATGGATGTTGAAGCCACGGTGGCAGGTGGCGTAAGCATGAGAGGTCGGGATGCCACGGTGGCATGTGGCGTAAGCTTGAGAGGGCAGTGAGGTGGCGTGTGAAAGTAGTTTTATTTTGGATGTTTGAGGTGGTGAGTTGCACAATGCTTTGTCAAATACTTCGAAATTTGAGGTTGTAGTGATTACTTGGGACCCACATAATCAATGAATGCCACCTCATCTGTCTCAAATTACGAGGTCTTTTTAACTAAAACAAAATAATTCCCTCATCATTTATTTCATTAAAAAATAAATTATAATTTATTTTTTCATCCATTAAAGATTTTGTTAGACACAAAATTAAAGATTTATAGACGAACTAACACAGTCTGATATTGGCCAAAACCACAAATCAGTGCGATGTCTATGGCAACCTATTCGGGCTACTAGCAGCACATCCAGTAACTCCATTAGTATCCCTCCATCACCTCGACATCGTCGAGCCCATTTTCCCGGACGCAACAAGGCTTGAAGGTCTCCAACGCCTCATTGTTCCAATGCAGCTAGACTCGGCAGCCCTGATGCAGCAATCGATCTGCTACAACCGAGCCAAGGGGTGGACAATCTCCATTTCCTGGGGCTTCACAGTCCAAATATTCCGAGGCATTTTCTTGGCTCGAGAGATCGAAATGCCTTCAAGAACGTTCTTGAATTGGTATCGAAAAGCGGATTACACTGCTTATGCATTCAACACACGCCCTGTTACCAGAAACCCGTGCCAGAAGCCCTTCATCTTCTACTTTTCAAATGCCACATTCAACTCCTCTGGTGGGGTTACTGTGAGTGAGTATATGAGAGACCGTGTGGCTCATCCCTTTTGCAAGTGGAAGATGCCTGATCCTGCTGAGCTTCATATGGTCATGGTGTTTAAGAAGCCCAACCCCAGCCTTTGGGATTCTGTGAGTATTGTTTCTACCACCATTTGCTTCCCATTTTCATTTAAACTAATATCATTGTTCATATCTTAACGATGTTCCTGGTGTTGTTCTTAGGCCCCAAGGAGGAATTGCTGCAGAGTGGTGGGGATGGAGAAGGAAGGAGTGTTGGGTGTTGATGTGGGGACTTGCAGGGAAGGGGAGTTCGTTGACTAATTTAACTAATTCTCTTATAAACTTGCCTTCATTCAGTTCTTTTAGTATATGAAACTTAAAATTTTGTTCTTATAAAATTTTATAAATAGTCTATATATGGTTTGATCCAACTTTCATAAGGACTAATATTATAGTTTTTACGGTAAACATGCATGTTTAAGTATCAAATATTCGGAAGCTACTCTTCTTTCATAAACTTGTCACAACACTTAATCCAATAAGCAACACAAAAACAAGACGAATTTTAATTTTTTTCTCTTTCAGCACATCTATATAGAGAGGAGCAGGATCCAATGTTTATT